TTTAATCATAGATACAGTAAAAACAGTAATACTGTGAAATATTGTGACAATCTAAAGTGACCATTTTTTATTTTAATATATTTAAAAAAAAATCACATTTATTTCTGTTATGGCAAAGCTGAATTTTCAGCAGTCATTACTCCAGTTTTCAGTGTCATATGATCCTTAAGAAATCATTCTAATATGTTGTGTGCTGCTCTATAATTATGATAAATTATTATTGGTGCCCAATTATTAATAATGGTTCTTATTATCAGTGTTGAAAATGGTTTTTGCTCCTTTATTTTTGTGGAAAATGTGATGCATTTTGTAGGCCTCTTAAGGAAAAATATAAATTATTTGTAACGTTATAAATGTCTTTACTGTCCCTTTTGATCAATTTAACGGATCCTTGCTGAATAATTTTCAAACATTTTCAACACAATTTACAATGCACATATCACACACACACACACACACACACACACACACACACACGCACACACACACACACACACTCACACACTCACTCACACACTTTATATAAGTATATGTAAGGCATTGTATAAAGTATTATATATTATTAAATATATATATTAAATACACACTTGTTAAAAAAAGGCTGAAGTCTCAGTCATTTAAATGTATTTTACCTGTTTTATAAGCAGTAAGTGCGAATGTATAGATATAAACCTGATCAAGCATCAACCCCTGGTTGCACATGTATGTCATCCCCTACAGGCACACACATCAAAATGAGATAGATCTTTTGAACACACTCCAGGACATTGTGTAAGGAGGGAAAGGCTACAAATGGGGGGGCTATGACTTCCTGATTCACACACAGCATAAAGAGAATGGCAGCTGGCTCTAATAAGCTCTCTATCCATAACTGCTGCATGCTACCCAACCACCTCTGAACCAGCCATTCGTACAACATGTGAACCAAATTAAATTTAATTATGCCTTTAACATGACACATATTAGGCCACTGCAGGTCCTCAGCAGGAGAAATATCCATGCTAGATTAACATGCTAGACAGTTTAGCATGACATGAAGTGTGATTATGTTTAACTGCTTAGCTCCTCCATTTACGACTGCGTACAAATCCAATAACAACTATTTACAGAGAGATTAGCGACATTAGCATTGACGACTCCTTTTGACTCCTCTAACAAACTGAATTAAGAATAACAGATAATTTAGGCTAAACTGTTAGCATATAGATCTTCTAGCCAGACAGATTAGCATGTAAACACTAAAAAAATTACGACTGCATTTTGCTTATTACTTTAATTGTTTAGAAACCACTTTAAGATGGTTTGTGGGGGCAATTTTTTTTACAAACGGCTTGCTGTGACTAATGAGGACTTTTAGGAGTTTAAAATGGAGCAAACAGCGATATTTTTACAATGCAGCAATCAGAGCATTTTGGTTCATTGGAAATGAAAAACAGATATGCTTACACCATCCTGAAAGGGTTATTGAATAAAATAGTGCGTGATATATGTATGATATCTGGCAGTGGCCTTGGTTAAACCCTTGAATATAGTTTCAACAAAAAAAAAAACAGAAACATTCAGTGTCAAGAGAGAGAGAAGATCACCAAAAATGCCTGGAAAATCTGGATCCCCTTTTGGTAATGTCCTGTTTTACTGGTACTATTAAACCTGTCTATTTGCTATTAGGTGATCTAAACTTCCAGATAAAGGTGCATTTATCGTATTTTAAATGTCATTCTGGGAGTTCACATGAGTTCAGAGGGCATTCACGTTATCTTGCTATAATTTAAGAAAATGCATTTTTGGAGAAGAATCAAAGTTCTTTGCAGGACTCTTATGTGTGGGAAGATTTTTAGATCTTGTAATAAAACTGTCATCTTCACAATTTGTTCCAAAGACAAGACAAAGGATCATAGTGGTTTTTCCCGCTAAGACCTGTCAAAGGTGAAATTACCCTGGCTCTGTAAATCAGAGCCTTCATATATGTGTTGTCCTGTCCCCATGGAAATAAGGGCCTGTTTGTGTAAAAACATTAGTGGGGTCAGAGGTTAAAGGCGTTGCATGACATCACCATTGCTATATTTTAGGTATATGTTTTACATATATTTTCCCTGTAATTAAATGCTGATGCTAAACATGCACTTCTGTCATGACATAATGCAATACTGTGAGTTTAAAGCTTTTTATTTAAAAAATAGTTTATTTTCCATTGAGCAGCACTGATAGCAGTGCAATAAATGTTTGCAATACCATCATTCACAATCACACGACTGGCCTTTATAGAAATAGTTCATCATTTACAAACCATCTTGAAAAACAATATGAGTTACACTTTATTTTAAGTTGTCCTTGTAGTGTATTTATATAATGAAGTACTGAGTAATATTAATGAATAACTTGTACCTACTATATGGTAAGGATTAGGATCAGGGTTTGGTTTATGGTTAGTTGCATGTAATTATGCATAATTTACTGTTATTACTATAACAAGTACACTGTAACAAAGACACTGTAAAATAAAGTGTTACCCAATATGATTTTAAGTCTTCTGTGGGACACAAATCAAGCTATTTAAAGCAGAATGTCCAATCTGCTCTTTCCATTAAATATGAATGGTGGCCATGTCTGTCAAGCAAGAATTTCAGAATAACAACTTGTATTTTAGTCTTTTCCTCAAGGAAATCTATAAAAATTACTTCTTGATGCTTTATGGTGTTTTTTGTACTTTTTGAAGTTTGACGATCCCTGGTCACCATCCACTTTTATTTTGTTCCTCCTAAGTCTTTTTTTCAAAATCCTTTTGTGTTCCACAGAAGTACGAAAGTCATGCAGGTTTTGGAATGCTGAGCAGATTTTATACAACAATAGGGACAGTGGCCAATAATGATTTGTTCTTGTTAAAGGAACTGTTTTCTGTCATCTTTGCATGCTGTGAGAGCTGGTTTGGTTTGCTGTTTCGTAGAGTGACAAGTCCACTGAAAGACACATTATATGGCGATTGATATTGCCCCCAAGGGTTGTTTCTTTTCTCCATGCTGAATAACGCCTGCCTGCATAGGCGGAGTGTGTGTAAGGGTGGGGAAGGCTTAGCCTTCCACTGGCCACGAGGACTTGGGGCAAAAATGCCACTACATTTGACAAAAATGCCTCTGCACAAACAAATTAAATCTATTATGTCTGTTGCTAACAAAGTGAATATGAATAGACAGTGTCGATTGCGGCATTAAATTAAGATCTGCTCATGTTGCACCGTATTTCATTTTAGGCATTTTTACAGTGTTGTGCATTTTAACCAATCACACACAATTCTGTTGAGCTTAGGAATGCAATGGCCAATCATAGGCACTCAGATGAGTCATCGTTAAAACAAATCAGTTTTGTTGAGTGCGCGTGCGTTCGCTGACTGAATTCCGGACTCTTGCGAATTCTCTCATCATAAACAACAAAGAGCAGATGTACGTACAAGGTAAGTAAGAGATTCATTTCACAGTGTATACAGCTTCAGTGATTATAACGATAGTTTTGTTTTTTGAGAGTGCTTAAACTCGCGATAGAGCAATGTTAGTAATGATAGTCACTTTCTATATAATTTATTCGCTGTTTGAATAACCGTGGAAAGGAAACGTTATATAATTATCAGTTTTTTCTAACGTTTTTATTAAATTGTAATCACGTTAAATACAAATTCAGTCCCATTAAATATTTTTTTTTAGCCTACATGGCACCCATGTCAGGTTCTTGCCTAAAAAGACGGGTTTATGATGTTAATACATTTGGCTGCTTTTAGCCTTACCCGGGAGTTGGTTCACCCTCCGCTTATGCCCGCCTGCCTTTTGACAGACCCAAGAAAGAAGCCAAACCCTTTCTGCCCTGATAGAGAGGCCGGTTTGTGTCACTTCACTTTTAGAACCTTTGGGGAGGTTAGTAAAATATCAGCCCTTTGACGTAGACCAAACCCAGTGTTCTGACTGGGCTGGTTTTCTAAGTACTTGCAAATTTCTTTTGTCCCTGCTCATCAATATATTCTGCCCTGATGCTTGCGATGGACAATACTTTTGACTAAAATTGCTAAATGTTTTACATTATTGTAATAATTTAATTACATAAATTGTGTGGATAAATAATACATTTAAAATACATAACATTTTCTAAAGAAAAATAAATAAATAAATACATACATACATAAAATAATTATATGTTGATTATTTTTTTAACATTAATCATTTAGTAATAATTTCCATGTATTTCTCACTGTAAAATGAAGAATTTATTAAACAATTATTATAATAATTATTAAAATATTACATTAATATTATTTAAATTATTATTTGGTTAATTAGTGTGATTTTATTGTGAAAAAACATTTTCAATAAAAAAAAAACACTCCCTGTGGTTCAGAAATGTTCCTACCATCTGAACCATTCAAGCTTGATATAATGTCAGTTTCAAGCTTTATAATATCAATTCAATGCTGTTGTCTGCCACAATAATGTAATGTCTTTGAATGCCTTAATTTTGGGGTCCATGATTAATTTGACTGTTTTGTTTGGAATGTCAAGTGAAAATGTAGTCTTTGTTTTTTATATCAATTGTGTGTATTCATGTTGGGATAATCACTTCATTTTTACTCATGCAAAACAACAGCACATGGTTCTCAGTGTGAAAGTGAAAGACTATTTTCACCAGTCAGCATCAGAAAATGAGTGGTATGTTCTGTTTCGATGAACTATTGAACCTAAACAAACCATATCATATTCTGAAGCCTCTCCGCACACATCTGCACAATTGATCATAGCTTTTAGCTCTTGCTGTGACCTCGACTACCCTCTCACACCGCTATGCATGCTTTGATCAGTTTCTATGATGGACACTGAGACAATAAAGGCATTCAGAGAGTTGCAAAACATCGCCCACACACTCTTTATATATAACACCCTGATCCATAAGGCACCACATCATTACCAGCAGACTGTTCTTATTTAGCTGCTGCGTTAAAGAATTTAGCAAGACAAATGAACCTGGTTCTGTTGGTACAGACGCAAAGGAAGATAAGTAGAGGGAGGGAGAGGAGGAGACAAGCTCCTGTCAAAGAAGAGACATGTATAGACAATTAATTTCTCTTTGTGTTGGCAACTTAATCCCATTATATACCCACAGGATTTTTATAGCTACTAACTTTCCATTTAGTGCAAACCATTTATGAATTATGGCATGGAAAAGTGTAAAAGGAAACAGTTTAAGTGAACGGGATTGACTCTGTCAGATTTTATCCTGCGTCTGGCAAAAGCAAATGAAAGAGGGAGGAAGATTTATGCTCTCAGATGTTCCTGAGAGCTTGTGCTATTCATACCAGTTACTGGTAAGCAGTCTAAAGGCCAGGCTGTATTAGTCAGTGGGAACTAGAAATGGAAGGATGACTTTAATAGAACACACAAGTCTACATTGTAAACTGTGGGAATAATGGCCAGGGGTTAAATTGGGTCAGAGCCTTCCGGAATGCTATTCCACTAGGTTAGTTTCAAATAACTTGCCGACTCTTTGTCAATCAATTCTATTTCATATGTAGTGCAGATGTAGTTTGAACCACTGCGCATATTCCAGGTTTATTTAGCAAGCTTCATTACATTAAATATTAACCTTTCTCTAATGAGTGACAGACCCAGTCTGAGATCACAACACTGCAAAAAATGCAACATTAATTGGGGGGAAAAAGTAAAAGTGAAATGGTCAACTATGTGTTGCCTTGCCTTCCCATATATGGTAAAGAATTGTAAATGATTTAACATACTGTATGTCATTTTATTGTAATTTACACCAGAGTGCTTTTTGTAGCTCTGCATTATTTATTTATTGGTTATTAGTACATTTTAAGGTAAGAATCAGATTTTTGTTGTTGTTCAATTAGACTGTCATATTAACATTATATAACTTGAATTATATTTAATAGTGTAGATTTTAATTTTAATTTAAATTTATTATAAATTATATTTATTCAACATAACAATTTGAGTGAAAAGTTGAATTTCTGATTTTAGTGACCTATTGAATTGATATATATAATCTATATATATAATCCCAGATTTTCATAATCCCAGATTTCTCAGATTTTGATTTCAGACCTTTGGACCTCAATGTATTTTTACCAAATTTTAAAATCACCATAAAGAGGCTCCAGAATCACCATCAGATCATAGCCTCCAAACTTCAAAAATCCCAGTTTAACCCCCATTATTGTCTCACATCACCATGTCCAGCTTTTCATGTGTAGCGGTGCAGGTGTGGACCCATAAGCCATTGCTCTGAGAAAGACATGGCAGGGGGTATAATGAAGAGAGAACGTGAGCGAAGGAGGGGGTTAATGAAAAGAGAATGTTCTCTGTTTGGGTTTTTAGTGGTGGTTGCTGTGGGCATTTTTGCAGCTTCCATCTCAAAATGGTTAGAAAGGGAAGGGGGGAGTATGTAAGAGACAGAGAGAGAGGGAGAATAGAGGGGGGTGCGGTGAGTGATTATGTGTCAAAAGAAGGGATGTTAGAGTCAGTCTTTAAAAAGCTCTGGCACTTAGTTCAGAAGTTCCCAAACTCAAAGCCTCCAACCCTGGGCAGTCGCAACGAGTGAGTGAGGACAGTACAGACCTAGAGCGGGAAACTGAAAAACAATTCAGAGTGTAAATAAAAAAAGAGGATGTTTCTGGTTCAGAGCTGTGCTGAGTGCAAAGTAAGCGAGGAATAGGAAACAGGAATCTCCCCCCTCCAGGCTGTCGTCTGGACAGTGTTGCTTTTAAATCTACTGCATTTTTTTGGCAAACAGCACTACAAGTGTGCTGTTGTAGAATAAGATCTCTCTGGATCTACTTATCAAGCAAAGAAACAGGAAAAAAGAAAGAAGCCAAGAAGCAGAACTTGAACTCCGAACTTCAGAAAAGTTTAGACAAGTGCAAATCCGAGTGAAGCGCTCTCATCCGACCTGCTTTTAGGATTGCCCACGCGATTTCATCCTTTCTTGGATTATAACTTTCCTACCGTCAGCACTTTCCTGGGATGGGCTGGCTGCTGTGTCTGTGTTACCTGGCAGCAGAAGTGGCTGTGGCGATTGGCTCGGAAAAACAACAGCACCAGGTGCAGCATGGCCCCTGCAGCTATACTTTTATCCTTCCAGAGGTGGAGCAGTGCCGGCCTGCGGGGGACTTCCAGGTGACTAACTCCCTCCAGCGGGACTCGCCCTCGGCTCCGGAGTCACCCCACGCTGAACCCACCTGGCAGGAAAAGAAGCTGGAGACCCTAGAGAGTGCCACAGAGAACAATACACAGTGGCTGCAGAAGGTAGTGAATGAGCTTCATCCACCGAAACCTCATTCTGTCTGTGTTTCTCTCTCATCTTTAATTGCACCAGTGGTTCTCAAATTAATACAGCTGGAAAAATAGCTAAATACAAAAATGTTAAATCAGAGTTTCCAAAATGGGGGCTTGTGAGGGAACTCCAGGGTGTTTGAGAGTTGATGAAAAGATAATTAATTATGAATCAAATATATGACCAAATAAAATGTAGAACAAAATAATTATAATTCAATTTTTCGCCATGTTGCTGCAGCCCTATATATAAAAAAAATTTAAATGATTAATTATTAATTATTTTGTTTACTCGCATGCCATGTGTTCATTAACTGACATCAGAGAACCATGCATATGCAGATGTGTCATTTAATGATTGAAATACAAATTTTAATTCTTAGGTGGTCCTTCAAGGAAATATTTTACATCTAAGTTGTTCGGTTTAGTTTGGGAACCCTTTTGCTAAATGATAACTAACAAGATAAGTTAGCAAGATAAATAGGCTTATTAACTTTTAAAAGTAAGTAGAAAACACTGTCGTTTTTGTTGAAATCAAAGGCTGATCATATAATCAAATTTTAAGGTATTATGCTACAAAATTAGCTATGACAAGGCAGATCACACGGTCAGCGTCCCAAAATTGCTTGTTTTAGTGACCTAGAAACTGAAGTGCAGAATTTTAAATGTTAAAAAAAAGAATTCAAACTAAATTAATCTTGGTAGAAGGTTGACAGATTGTGTGATGTCCTTGAAAACCATGAACAAAGCTGTGAAAGGAAATACAACCCAGACTAACATGGTTTTTGTCGACCACAATGTATTTGTCTAGTGAATTATAGGCCAAACAGAAACCAAATTGTAAATATTTTTCCTGTTCAGACTACATCATGGATCATTTTGGAATTCTTGGAAATATTAATACACTTTAGTGTTTGATTGTACGGAGATTTTGTTTACTTTCGTACAATAAATAATTTTGATATTTTGTTGGGTCGCCACTCTAATGTGAATTCTGGATTCTGAAGCCAAAGCACTTGAAGTTTATGTGCATTATTTATGCACATGCATTAATAGATGTGTCCCAATCTGCATTACACATTATCCTCATAAGGTTATTGAATTTGGGAAGGAAAGAGAGAGAGAGGTAAATCTTGAACATGTTTAAGCAAGATTTCCTGGATGTGTAGATCTTTTTAAGCTGGCGGACAGTTTGTCAGTATCAGAAACCTTTTTAAGAAAAGGATTTGGCCTCCATTAAGAGTCATTAGCGGACTCTGGCTTGGCAGACATGATGTGATCAGGCTTTGAGTTTGTAGACATGACATGAGTAAACTTCGACTTATCTGAAATGATGTGAGCAGGTCCTGGAGTAGCGGGCGTGACGTGAGCAGGCTGTGGCTCTGGTTTAGTGCCGTGTTCCTTCTCCACGACACCCACAGTGAAAGCAGATCCACTCAACCGCAGAGCAAAGTCTATATACTCGGCAAGGGACCAGTGAACCGCTCCCCCAGGAAGCTGGGAGCAAATGGGCCCATTCAGACCCACCCGAAAGATGTCCTTAAGTGCCACATCATTAAAATCCACTTGGTTAGACAGTTCACAAAAATCCTCCACATAGTCCTCAATAGGCCGGTCACCTTGACGAAGGCAGAGGAGGCGTGAAACTGCTGGGTTCATTTTAGGGGTCGTGTATTCTGTAAAGAGTCAGTCCACTGAAGGCAAGCTTAGTAAGAACCCAAGTGCAGTTTATTTACAGAGTGATCCAAACATACAAACAATAATCCAAGACACAGACGTGACTTGACTTGATTTGACTTGACTAGGCATGAACAGACTTGACATGAACAGACATGACTTGGCATGAACAGACAAGACTCACCAACAGCAGGTTACAACTTCAATACACGACCAGCTCACAATCGGAACATGAAGCTACTTATAGGAAACAAGGAGGGTCCATGACATTAACAAACCAATGGGGAACAAGACACATGACTAAGACTACCAATCAGAACATGACACATACACAAGGCAGAGAGACATGAGGCAAGGGAAGCATGACACTAACATGGACCATGAAACAATTACAAAATAAAAGACATGGAAAACATGAACATGAAACAAAACACCACATTACAATAATTAATAATTTAGTACTAATTTCCATGTATTTTGCCATAAAAATCACACTGTAATAAAATATTACATTAATATTATTTAAATTATTATTTGGTTAATTTAGTATGATTTTATTGTGAAAAACATAAAAAAAAAAAAACATACTCCCTGTGGTTCAGTAATAAGCAATTTTCCTTCCATCCGAGCCATTCAAGCTTGATATATTGTCAGTTTTAAGCTTTATACTATCAATTCAGTGCTGTTGTCTGCCACAATAATGTAATGTCTTTGAATGCCTTAATTTTGGGGTCCATGATTAATTTGACTGTTTTGTTTGGAATGTCAAGTGAAAATGTAGTCTTTGTTTTTTATATCAATTGTGTGTATTCATGTTGGGATAATCACTTCATTTTTACTCATGCAAAACAACAGCACATGGTTCTCAGTGTGAAAGTGAAAGACTATTTTCACCAGTCAGCATCAGAAAATGAGTGGTATGTTCTGTTTCGATGAACTATTGAACCTAAACAAACCATATCATATTCTGAAGCCTCTCCGCACACATCTGCACAATTGATCATAGCTTTTAGCTCTTGCTGTGACCTCGACTACCCTCTCACACCGCTATGCATGCTTTGATCAGTTTCTATGATGGACACTGAGACAATAAAGGCATTCAGAGAGTTGCAAAACATCGCCCACACACTCTTTATATATAACACCCTGATCCATAAGGCACCACATCATTACCAGCAGACTGTTCTTATTTAGCTGCTGCGTTAAAGAATTTAGCAAGACAAATGAACCTGGTTCTGTTGGTACAGACGCAAAGGAAGATAAGTAGAGGGAGGGAGAGGAGGAGACAAGCTCCTGTCAAAGAAGAGACATGTATAGACAATTAATTTCTCTTTGTGTTGGCAACTTAATCCCATTATATACCCACAGGATTTTTATAGCTACTAACTTTCCATTTAGTGCAAACCATTTATGAATTATGGCATGGAAAAGTGTAAAAGGAAACAGTTTAAGTGAACGGGATTGACTCTGTCAGATTTTATCCTGCGTCTGGCAAAAGCAAATGAAAGAGGGAGGAAGATTTATGCTCTCAGATGTTCCTGAGAGCTTGTGCTATTCATACCAGTTACTGGTAAGCAGTCTAAAGGCCAGGCTGTATTAGTCAGTGGGAACTAGAAATGGAAGGATGACTTTAATAGAACACACAAGTCTACATTGTAAACTGTGGGAATAATGGCCAGGGGTTAAATTGGGTCAGAGCCTTCCGGAATGCTATTCCACTAGGTTAGTTTCAAATAACTTGCCGACTCTTTGTCAATCAATTCTATTTCATATGTAGTGCAGATGTAGTTTGAACCACTGCGCATATTCCAGGTTTATTTAGCAAGCTTCATTACATTAAATATTAACCTTTCTCTAATGAGTGACAGACCCAGTCTGAGATCACAACACTGCAAAAAATGCAACATTAATTGGGGGGAAAAAGTAAAAGTGAAATGGTCAACTATGTGTTGCCTTGCCTTCCCATATATGGTAAAGAATTGTAAATGATTTAACATACTGTATGTCATTTTATTGTAATTTACACCAGAGTGCTTTTTGTAGCTCTGCATTATTTATTTATTGGTTATTAGTACATTTTAAGGTAAGAATCAGATTTTTGTTGTTGTTCAATTAGACTGTCATATTAACATTATATAACTTGAATTATATTTAATAGTGTAGATTTTAATTTTAATTTAAATTTATTATAAATTATATTTATTCA